AAAGAACTAGTCCTTAACCACACTATTTGCTAATGATAACCAACCTATTCATACGTTTGTATTATTTACATTATAAATTTGTTTACACATATATCAGCCCAGCTTCAATTTAGTATTAATGATTTTGTGCTCCTTATTGTTAGAAACTGTAACATAAATTTTAAAAAGAGAAAAAAAACAAAAATATTTCATTCAGCCAAAGTGTATGTTTTCATCTCAACAGCGTGGCTAGCCACCTAGCAGTTCCAACAGCCTGTCACAATATCTAACAATGTGCTAACTGTACAACAGGGAAATGATCCACTTTACCAGATTACTGTGAAAGAAGAACAATTTACCCTTACACCCAAGCACATACAAAACTCATCTTACACTTAAGAGTAGATGGAAATTAGTAACTTCTGGTCTCCAACCATTAATATCTCAAGAAAGTAAGGATTTTATAAAATTAGTCGACTTATTTTTGATTTATCACTTTACTTATTAAACTACTCCTTGGTAGATCACAAAGGTTTTCAAATTTAATGTCATTGCATAAGTTGTCATCAAAAAATAGCTGCAAAGTGATTATCTTCAGAAAATTCCCTTATTCACCGACATGCTAAACCAAACCTAGATAAACTGGGAACTAAAAGAGTAGAATACGTCACATGTAATCTCTCTTCTTCACATCTTTGAAAAGATCGGATAAAATTAGAAGATAAGGTATTGAGATCAAACACCATTATAAGCAATTTCACTGCAACTCATCTGATTTTGCTTTGCAATTTGGCTGAAATGGTTGGATTAAATCTCTAACCCAATGCACTAGCTTCAAACAAAGTCATTTATCTTCATGACTGATCGATTATAACATCGGATTTTATAAAAGGTGACCCAACAGCTCTGTAGATGAATAATGATCCCAGACGGCAGATCCTACGCTTGATTTTCAGGGTTGTTTGTCATTAAAATGCACTCAGCTGTTTTACCTTTGACCCACTGTAAAGACGACAACCGAATAGAGTGCCAGGTGAAAGGAAGTTCTTTATTGAGATAGAACCATCCATCTCACCTCACTTGATTTGTACTTCATTTCATTCTTATTCAATATTATTGTCTGCTGCAGTACAGGTCACACCAGTCTGGTGCCCTAAACCTTACCCCTATCATAGGAACAATGAATATAGAAAACAATCCCCTCCATTTACACTTGTATATACTGAACTGGTGGGTTGCTTTCACACATTTATGTGGAATAGGATGAAATACTTTACCTGTTCTTTGCATATTTATTTCTATTAATATTCCACAAACAACTAAAATGTTTTTCAGGATATTTGCAGACATCTACCTTAAAATGACCACTTGTTCCTCTGATACAAACGTTCAATATTGAATAGAGAAAATAAAACCACCGACACTTAGTCAGCTCTGTAAATTGTAAAATAGAGAACATGGAAGATTGACTTGGATCCGAGGATTCACAATACCAATTCTGTTTAGCTCTGGATGCCTGCTGAACCTCTGCTTGTTCTTTTTGGGTTTTTTTATATCTGTGATAACACCTACATGGGAATCACTAAATAATCTTCCTGTGGAGCTCACTGAGTATGAGTTTCCATAATAGCAGGCAATGGCCTGCCCCACTGGAACTCATCACCTGAGCCCTTCATAACGCTGACCCAGTGCACTGCCCATAATAGGCTTGGGTTAGAAATATTTATTTAGCTACATGGATGATTGCTGGTGGTGGTTAGTAGTTTCAAACAAAGAAACAAATAAAAAAGTAACGGTGATTTGGTGGTGGGTAAGTCATTTGGTTTTGTGTATGATAACGCTTACTGGTGGCAGAATAGGGGGCTGAGCCCAGGTTCGACCGCTCCCATTGGCCTTTTTTCTTTTATTCTTCATTATCCTTTCGCTCTTTTTCTTTTCCTTTGGGTCTGGAGAGTGACAGGTGCGGGAGGAGGTCTTCGGCAGCAGTGCCAACATCTGGACGCTGGACATGGCTCCACTCCAGCCTGGGGTCTCCCGGCAAGCAAGGAGCAGGTCCTGGACTAACACCCCCAGCCCAGGCCCGAAGGCTAGGCTGAGCTCAGGATCCACAGCTGGGCCTGGGTGCCTGAAGGAGGAGGAGAGATGGCGGTCTCCCAATGTGGCAGTCATATCCCGGAGTGGGGGATATTCTCCCTACATGCCTCCACACCCCTCACTTTTGATGGTTCGCTTTGCCCATAATGAGCTTTGCATGTAAATATCTAATTAGCTACATGAGTGATTACTGGTGGCAGTTAAAAGGGAAAAAAAAAGAAGTCTCACTGATTTTGGGAAATTCACACAGTTGTGTGGGATATTACTTCTGAGTATAAATCAAAAAATGTCACTACGATTTAATGGGAGGAAAGTCATTAGGTTGTGTGTGACAGGAATTCCAGATACAAAATAAAGAAGAAAAGAAATAAAGTGGGGAAAAAAATGCAGACTCAGGTGAGGGACTCTTGTAGCACAGTAGTTGTGTCCCTAACTCTTAACTAGGAGGCTTGGGTTCAAATTCCTACCTACTCTAGTGGCATGCAATAATATCTCTGGGCAGGTTGACATACTGGGAAAATAACAGACAGATACAAGCAATGGTGATCCTGAAAAATAAGCTTGGAAAGGAAAAAGCAGACTCACATGGTGGTTGATAGTTAAAAACAGAATAATGATTTGATGGTGTGAAAGCCATTCAATTTTAAGAGATAACACTTCTGGAAAACAAAGGAGAAAGGAAAAAAGGAGACCCATAGGTATAAACAGGTCCAGGCAGAAGGCTGTGGAGGGTGTTATATCTGTCAATTGCCTGCCCCTCTTCTACAGTTACATTTGAATTTGGATGTCATTGCAGAAGGAGCAAGCAGTGTCCATCAATACTTTTGATGTCTTTAGAGAGAGCTGGGCTCTGCGGGGGATACAGTAATTTATTTCCCCCTCCAACTCCATTTTAATACAGCCCCTTCTCAGTTTCCCTACCCTTCCCTCCCCCCTCACTTTTGATGGTGAGCATTGCTTGTAACAGGCGCTGCATGTAAATATCCAATTGGTTGCATGTGTTTTACTGGTGACGATTATTAGTCAAAATCAAAATAAAAGTCACAGTGATGAGGTGGTAGAAAGCCACTCTGTTGTGTGGGATAACACTTCCAGATACAATAAAGTAGACCCATGGAGCTCCTGTGCCACAGTAATAGTGACCTTCCCTCTGAGCCAGGAGAGGCCCAGGTTCAAGGCCCATCAGGTACTGAGATACATAATAACACATCTGAATTGGTGGTTAAAATAAACCAGACCCAGTTTTACTGGTGGTGGTTAATAGTGAAATGACATTGAGTTATTCCAGTATCTTTTCCCCACTATATCTTCGCAATTTCCCAATACATTCTGTTAAGTAGTGGTGGCTCAATTATATATTAAAATTGATAATTGTCCTCAATTGTTCTGAGTTAATATAGTTTGAATCTTGGAACAATGTGGCACTATTTAAAGTTATGCAGAAAGTAGATTTAAAATTTACTGCCTGTAATTTATCTTTTAACTCCTACTTCAATTCCAAAAGTAGAAACTCTTTCATCTTAAATTACACATTGCTTTAAAATTCTAAGCTGGCTGTTTTCACTTGGTATTTTATCTTGCCAAATATCATGGGGTCAGCTCCAGGGAATGCAATGCCTTTACTTTTTAAGTAGACTGCACTGTGTGGGTTTACATTATCTCACAATTTTGTTTAGAATCAAAATTAGATCCTTAATCCAATTACATTAAAAATATAGCTTCAGTGATACAGCTTTTCCATGACAGCCTTTTCTCACCCCCCGAGGATTAGCTGACCTCAACAAGAAATTGTAGCACAAGATCCAGAAATTTTGTCACAGCTGAATATTGCCGTTATGTACACAAAAGTTGCCAAGACATGACAAATCCCTTTCTAGTTTCTTTGGCAAGCTAACAAATAGACAAGAGGTCATCCAAGCCGCCTGTCTGTTCATTATGTCATCCAAGCAAATTTAATCTAAATAGCTAAATTTTTTTTGGGCTTGTAATGACTAATAATTACACAATGCAACTGAATGATACAATTCATACATTGTAATAAAAACAAATTTGATTCTTGTTAAAGGCAATTAGCTGAAGAAACTCAACATACTGGTTGTGCCCTGAAGTTTCCATGAACATTTATTTCTTCTATGCTTTGCATCAATACCATTGCAACAACTAACATTTGTCAAATACAATTATGCCGAAGCTCAGGCTATATTGAAATAACAACCCAGAATCCTTATAAATGTATAGACAGCCTAAAGATGCTCATTGGATTTGATGATTTAAAAAATCCATTTGATTGGGAAATCAAAAAGATGGACTTCTGTATAGAGACATGGTTGTGGATCCTATGTGGACATTTTCCACATGATGATCATTTTATGATAGATACTTATATGAAACACCTCTAATCACTATCCTCTACAAACAATTAAAAACATATTTGTGTTAAGAATGTTTTGTATAATTCGTGTTTTCAATTTTCTTTAACTAGAAGATCAAAATTCTCTTACACTAGCTCAATGTCATTTTACGCTCGGGCATGTCACACAACTATCCCCTCAGACTCCTCACATCAGTCCCTCATGTACTACAGAGAGCTCACAACTTTGGCTCAACTGGCCCAAGCTGGTGTTTTTGGTCAAAATGTTTCTTGCAACCTATTTGGTCTGAACCATTCAAATTATCTTTATGTTTCTTTCTCCCTCATATACTTACTTGGATTCCCCTTAAACGAGTTATGCTATTTGCCTCAACTATTTCGTCTGATAGCAAATTCTATATTCTACCCGCTGTTTGAATTTTAAAAAAAAGTTTCCTCTAGATAGTTTTAGATTTATCATCTCTGAATCCTTGTCACTTAACTCGCTGCCACTTGCATCCTACCTAGTAAGAGTAGTTTAAAATTAACACCATGGCTATTATTGAGTCTTACTTACTTGTGACCCATCTCATGAGCAATTGTAAAGGCCAGATTCAGTCCATTGTCCTCTGCAAGAACACACTTCTTTCTTTCACTGCACATCCCACTAAGGTATGCTATACCTGCCAAAATGAAATACAAACGAGACAAATTGAAAATTGCAATACAGTAATCCTACTTCTGAACACAAAATTTAGTAATAGATAAATTACCTATTTTTAGAGATAAGAATTAACAATTTACAGTTATTTTTGAGAGGTTTTATGCTCAAGTTGCCTTCTGAGAAGCAAATGTAGTTAAAACTTTTGAATAGCAAAACATACCCAAATCAACAATTTTTTAATTTGTTCATGGGACATGGGCACAGCTGGCTGATCCAGCATTTAGTAGCATCCCTAGTTGCCCCTGGATTTGAGTGGCTTGCTAGGCCCATTTCAAAACATAGTTGATAGTCAACCACATTGCTATGGGTCTGAAGTCACATGTAAGCCAGACCAGTTAAGGATGGCAATTTCCTTCCCTATCAGATGCGAGAGTGAACCAGATGGATTTTTACAAGCAGACAACAGTTACATGGTTACTATTAGGCTGGCTTATAATTCCAAATTTCTACTGAATTCAAATTTCCACTGTCTGTCTTGACTGAAGTTACCAGTTGGACACAATATAAACCCGGAAATACTAGGGCTTGTAAGAAAGCCGTGACAATAATCGTGGGTGACTTTAATATTCATATGGACTGGATTAAGCGAATTGGCAAAGGTAGTCTTGAGGGAAAGTTCCAAATGCATTAAAGATTTTTTCTTCAAGCAATGTTCTGGGGAACCAGCCAGAAAGCAGGCTCGTGGACTGGTTGTTGTGCAATGAGGTGGGATTAATTAACGATCTCATAGTAAAGGATCCTCTATGAAGAGTAATCATAACACGCTAAAAATTCAAAATCATTTGGAGGGTGAGAAACTGGAGTCTCATACTGGCTTTCTGGGGTTAAACAAAGGTAATTATTTTGACATAAGACAGATCTGGCCCTAGTGGACTGGGCAGCAAGACTGAAAGGTAGGACACATGGTGTCTAGTGGATGAACAGTGGCAAATAGTTAGGTAAATATTGAACAGCAGCGTGGGGGTGGGTGAGGCAAGCATCCATGGCTAGGGAAGAAAGTTAAAGATAGCTTAAGGGCAAAAGCTAAGCATACTATATTGCAAAGGTCAGTATCAGGATGGAGAATTGGGAAACTTTTAAAAGACCAAAGGGTTACTAAAAAGCAGTAAAATGAGCAAATGTTAATTATGGAAGAAAATGGTGCAAATTGTGATGAAACTATGGCTTTAAGAGGTGTATTTTGTCCTTTTATTTTGAAGAGAAGTTTTGTGAAAGAGGTACTGAGCTGTCTCCTCCAAGAAAATAACGTAAACAGTGTTTGAGGCCTTGGAGTTCTTTTTAAATGTTGGAACAATAGAAGCAGCATGAATGGGTGGAGTCAGGCTAACAAAGACTTTCAGCAGCTGTTAGGGTTTTGAAGCTAGTTTGGAAGCTACTATGTCTCTCTCTGCTACAGCTAAAAACTTGGGTTCTCTTTGCTGCCAGAATCGCACATGAGAAAATCTGTTTTACTGACTTTGCCTTTGCTAAGGGTATGTTTAAGGGCTATTACTATATTAGAACAGTTGCTGTTTAGCAGTTAAATAACATACTATTGTGTTAATTTTTTCAGTTGAGTTACATTATTCCAATTCTTTTTTTTGTTTGTAGTTGAACAGTGGAGGTAAGAATAAAATGTGGTTTGCTTAAAGCCGAGTAACATGACCAATTGAATTATATCTGTGACACAGCACCTCCCACTTGCCTTGAAATAAGATAAAAGGTATGGTCTGGACTATCTCCTTCAAATGTTTGCAGGGGGTTTGGTCTAATCCATAACAAAATACAAAAACTGGAGAGCAAAAGCTTCTATAAGGCATATGAAAAGGGAACAGAATAGCAGAAGTGAATGCTTGTCCCATAGAGAAGTTAATAGTGTGGAACACAAAAATGGCAGGGACACTAAATTAATAGAGACAACAAGGTGCAGGGCTGGATGAACACAGCAGGCCAAGCAGCATCATAGGAGCAGAGAGGCTGACGTTTCGGGCCTCGACCCTTCATCAGAAAAGACTAAATTAATAGTTTGCTTCCATTTTCATGGTGGAGGCACTAGTACCATCTCAATAGTAACTGGTAATGTAGAGGCTATAGAAAGGGAGGAACTTACAACAGTCATCAACACTAGGGAAAAGGTACTGAGTGAACTCTTGGAATTGAAGACAGACAGGTCCCTAGGGCCTGAGGGCGTACATCCCAGGATTTTTAAGGAAGTGGCAGCAGATATAGTGGATACAGTGGCTATGACATTCCAAACTTCCCTACATTCTGGAAAGGTTCCAGTGGATTGGAAAAATTCTAATGTAACACCCTTATTCAAAAAGAGAGGGAGACAAAAAATAGGAAACTGCAGGTCAGTTAGTTTAACATGTGTCATTGGGAAATTGTTGGCATCCATTACTAAGGAAATGGCAAAGAGAAATTTGGAAAGTCAAAGCCCAATCCATCAGAGTCAGCATCTCTGATGGTTCTATGAAGGATAAATCATGTTTGATTAATTTGCTAGAGTTTTCCGAAGATGTAAATGATTTGGATGAAGGAGTGGAAGGGTGGACGATACAAAGGTGGGTCACATTGTGGACAGTGCGGAGGGATGTTCTAGGTTACAAAGGGACATTGATAGGATGCAGAGCTGGGCTGAGAAGTGGCAGATGGAGTTTAACCCTGAAAAGTGTGAGGTGATTCATTTTGGAAGGACAAATTTGAAAGCAGAATACAGGGTTAACGGAAAGATTCTCGGCAGTGTGGAGGAGCAGAGGGATCTTGGGGTTCATGTTCACAGTTCCCTGAAAGCTGCCTAACAGGTGGATAGAGTTGTTAAGAAGGCGTATGGTGTGTTAGTTTTCATTAATAGAGGGATTGAGTTCAAGAGCCGTGAAGTTATGCTCCAGCTGTACAAAAGCCTGGTTCAGCCACATCTGGAGTATTGCGTCCAGTTCTGGTCACCTCATTACAGGAAAGATGTGGAAGCGTTGGAAAAGGTGCAGAGGAAATTTACCAGGATGTTGCCTGGAATGGAGGGAAGATCTTACGAGGAAAGGTTGAGAGAGCTAGGGCTTTTCTCTTTAGAACGATGAAGGCTGAGAGGTGACTTGTTGAGGTGTACAAAATGATCAGAGGTATAGATAGGGTAGACAGCCAGAGACTTTTTCCTAGGGTGGAGGTAGCTTTTACGAGGGGACGTAGTTTTAAAGTGAAAGGAGGTCGATATCGGGGAGACGTCAGAGGTAGGTTCTTTACTCAGAGTGGTAGGGGCGTGGAATGCATTGCCAGAGAGGGTAGTGGAGTCGGCCTCATTAGGGACATTTAAGCGGCTATTAGATAGGCATATGGATGATAGTATAAGGTAGTGGTGGAGGTTAGATAGACCTTAGGTTTCGGGTAAAAGTTCGGCACAACATTGTGGGCCGAAGGGCCTGTACTGTGCTGTACTGTTCTATGTTCTATGTTCTATGTAACAAGCAAAGTGGTTAATGGGAGGTTCTGTAGACGTAATATATCTGGACTTCCAGAAGGCATTTGATAAGGTGTTGCACAAATGGTTAATATACAAAGTAAGATCACACTGGGTTAGTGGTAACATTTTAACTTGGATAGAGGACTAGCTAACAAACAGAAAGCAGAGAGTTGGGATAAATTGGACATTTTCTGATTGGCAAGCTGTATCTAGCAGGGCGACACAGGGTTCAGTCCTCAGACCACAACTATTTACAATCTATGTTAGTGACTCAGACTAGGGGATAGAAGTACTATAGTCAAATTTGCAGATGACATTAAAATAGGTGGAAAAGTATGTTGCAATGAAGAAGTAAAAAATTTACAAATGGATATGGATAGGTTAGGTGAATGGGCCAAAATTTGGCTAATGGAGTTTAACATGAGTGAATAAGTATGAAGTTATCCATTTTGGTCAGAGTGTAAAATGGCAGCTTATTAATAAATAGAAAGAAACTTCAAAATGTTTCAGTGCGAAGGGATCTGGACATCCTCGTGCATGAGTCACAGAAAGCTAGTATGCAAGAAATAATGAGGACAAATTAAATTTGTGGCATTTATTGATGAAGGAATAACAGAAAAGTAGGGAGCATTCTTGCAATTGTACAAAGCATTGGTGAGACCACATCTGAGTACAGTGTATAGTTCTGGTGTCCCTACTTGAGGAGGGATGTAATTCCATTGAAAGCAGCTCAGAGAAGGCTCACTAGACTAATCCCAGAGATGAAAGGCTTGCATACGAGGAAGAGATTGAGCAGTTTAGACCTGTACTTGCTAGCATTTAGAAAGATGAGAGGAAATCTAATTGAAGTACACATGGTGTTATAGGGGATTGACAAAGTAGACAGAGAGGACATTTCCCCTTTAAGGCAATCTAGAACGAGAGGTCATAGTCTTAGGATAGATTTAAAACAGAGACGAAGAGGAACTACTTCGCTCATTATGTTATGAATTCACTACCCCAGAGGGTGAAGGATGCTGGGCTATTTAGTAAATTCAAGGAGGAAATAGACAGATTTTTTAATTAGTAATGGTTTAAAGGGTTATGGGAAGGGGGCAGGAAAATGAAGTTGAGGCTGAGACAAGGCTCAAATGACAGAGCAAGCTCAAGGAGCTGAATTACTTACTCGTGTTCCTAGTTCTTATATTCTTACCAGAACACAAACCTGGGAGTACGAGCCGAATGACACTACCACCATCTCCCTTTGAGAAACAGATTAGAGGGAAAACATGCAACACTGGAGTACTCAGGTATTAAGTTATTAATTGTTTTAAAAAAACTATTTTACAGTGTATTTCAGGAAACTATTGTGTTTTGTTTTCATGCATGGGATAGGAGCAACACTGACTGGACCTTCTTTTAATGTCCACATCTTATTAAATTCAAATACCAGCAGGTACCATGATGGGATTTGAACCCACACTGCCTTGGACCTCTAGATTACTGCTTTAGTGGCATTACTATTAAGCCACTGACACCTCCTA